GGGGTGAGGGGTGTGGCTTGAGTGGGCACAGAATCGGGACTGGCAGATGCCGCTGAGCAGTCTGGAAAGATTAGGAAAGTATCCACTGGCTTTCCTATAAGGAACGAAGGTAAGGGATCCCACCAAGAACAGATTCTTGGGTTGGCAGCTGATAGGGGTAAGGAGAGACAGATTGTGCCGGACAGAGAATACATGACATTAATAGGATTTTTGTAAGGTCTAGGGGAGATGAGTAATAGCTAGTAAAATATATAAAATTGATCATAAAAGAAGTAAAGAAAGAGCAAGAGAGAGAAAATAAAGCCATAACAACTTCCACCATAGCTGGGTTTGGAAGATGATAAAAGATACTTAGAAGACACAAGGAATTAGAGATAGTTTAGAGATAGTTTTAATGCAATTTACATTTTTAAGATTCTGGACTATAGAAGTGGATGGAAAGCTTGCATTTACTAACTTTTTGGTAATTCATTATTATCACTTTCCCTTTGCTGGACATAGTACCCAACACCCACAACTTATAGAAGCAGAGATTTAATTTAGTCTACTCCATACATGCTCACCAGGTGCCTGGGCCAAAACCTCTTGGTGGGTGGAAGGGTGTGGCAGAGCACACCCTTTGGGAAGCAGAGCCAGGAACCCTGCTAGAGAGGAAGGGCCAGGGACCTCATATAGTACACAAGGCCACACCTCCAGGACCTACCCAGGCACACCCAGAAGTGTACTCTACTAATTTGTTAGGCATTTCTTTTTTTTTTTTTTTTGGTATCGGGGATCGAACTTGGGACCTTGTGCTTTCAAGGCAAGCAATGGAACCACTGAGCTAAATCCCTGGCCTTGTTAGGCATTTCTTAACCCAGTGAAGTTGACATATCAGAATTAACAGTCACACCCATTTAAGATGTACAGTTTAATAGCTTTTAGTTTGTACACAGAGTTCTGCAGCCATGAACCACAATCAGTCATGGAATCCTTTCATCGCCTCAAAAAGAAGGCCCTACCTCCAACCTTCCATCCTCACCCAGCCTTAGGCCGCTATGAGTCTACTATTTATTTTGCTTCTTCTAGACATTTCATGTTAGTGGAATCACATAATCCATGGTCTTCTGTGAATGTGACCGTTCAGTGAATATACTGTTTTCAGTGTCCATCTGCATTGCAGTATGTGTCAGAACTTCATTCCTTTGTATGGCCTAATGATACTGCATTATTAGGTAAAAGCTACCTTTAATTTATCCATTCATCTGTTAAGGTGTTTGGGTTATTTCCACCTTCTGACTGTTGTGATTAATCCTCTTAGGAACATGGGTGTGCAAGTTCTTTGATTTCTCTTGATTATGTACTTAGGAATGAACTGTTAGGATCAGATAGTAACTGACTTCTTGAGGCACTACCAGACCCCAAAGTGGCTGCACTATTTTCCATTCCCACCAGCAATATGTGAGTGTTCCGATTTCTCTACTCCTCACCAACACTTACTACTACCTGACTTTTTCATCTAGACATCATGGTGGGTGGGAAGCGGTATTTTCCTTTTTTTGGTACTAGGGATCAAATTTGGGACCTTGCGCTTGCCAGGCAGGTGGGGCGGAACCACTGAGCTAAATCCCCGGCCCAGGGAAGTGGTATGTTTTGATTGGTATTTCCTCAATGACCAGTGACTGTGTTCATTGGCCTCTTGGCTGTTTGTGTATCACTAGAGAAAAAAATTGTGGCAACTGCTGGGGATTGGACCAAAAACCTTGCTTATGCTAGGGAAGATGCTCTACTACACAGCTAATCCCCAGCTCAGAGGTTTTCCTGAATTCTAGACATGAGTCTTTCTTTGAATGATACACAACTATTTTGTCTACTTTGGGTTTTTCTCACTTTCTTGATGTGTCCTTTGGTATAGAAAAGTTTAATTTTTATAAAGTGATTTAGGGGTTTTTTTTGGTTTGGCTTTTCAGATGGATGGATGAATTTATTTGATACTGGGCCTTGAACCCAGAGCTTTTCCATTGAGCTACTTTCCAGGCATTTTAAATTTTGAGACAGGGTCTCTAAGTTGCCCAGGCTGGGCCTGAACTTGGAATCTTCCTGCTTCAGCTTCCCAGAATACTGAGATCATAGGGATGCTCCACTGTGCCCAGTTTGTTTGTTTGTTTTTCTCTTAGGGCTTGTGCTTTGGGTGTCAAAGCGAAGAATTCATTAACAAATCCCTGTTTTTTTCTTAAGAGTTTCATGGTTTTAATTTTTACAATTAGGTCTTGATCTATTTAGGTCTGTGTTTTTGTTTGTTTTTTAAAAATAAAGTATTAGTACAGGTCTAACCTTTCTTTTTCATGTTGATATCCAGTACTATTTGAAAGAGAAATGAAAGAGACTTTTAACTCAGCATATAGTTTGATTTTGATTTTTAGCAGCCTGGCAGTCTATGCCTTTTGACTGAATTGTGTAATCCATTCACATTGAATTAGTTTTGGATATGTGAGTGTTCTGTTCTCCCATTTCGGCTTTCTTTTACATTGAGTACTTTTTAGTAACACTTTAGTTTCTTTGATGATTTTTATCACTGCATTTTTGGGTACTACTTCCTTTGGTAGTTTCTTTAGGTTTTACGCGCGCGCGCGCGCGCGCGTGTGTGTGTGTTACTGAGGATTGAACCTAGGGAGTGCTCGGCTACATCCCTAGCCCTTTTTATTTGAGACAGAATCCCACTAAGTTACCCAGGTTGCCTGGAACTTGCAATCCTCCTGTCTCAGCTTCCCAAGAGGATGGGATTTTAGGTATGCACACTTCCCCCCGCTACCCCTCCCTTCCCTTACCCTCCTCATTTATTTATTTTTTGGATGCTGGGATTGAACCCAGGGATTGTGTATGCTTGGCAGGTGCTCTACCTCTGAGCTACTTCCCCAGCTATTAGCTTCTGGTTTCTGATTAGAAATCCACTTTTTTTTCTTTTGGGACTGGGGATCAAACTTGGGACCTTGCGCTTTCAAGGCAGGAGACAGAACCTCTGAGCTAAATCCCCGGGCCTAGAAATCCACTTTTTTTTCTTTTGGGACTGGGGATCAAACTTGGGACCTTGCGCTTTCAAGGCAGGAGACAGAACCTCTGAGCTAAATCCCCGGGCCTAGAAATCCACTTTTTTTTTTTTGGTACCGGGATCGAACTCGGGTACTTGCGCTTGTGCAGCAGGCAGTGAAACCACTGAGCTAAATCCCCGGCCCCTAGAAATCCACTTTTAACCTTACTAGGTTTCTCTTGTAAGTGATGATTTGTTTTTTCCTTGCGGCTTTCACTCAGAGTTTTTTCCTATTCTTGAAGTTTTGATGTTTTTATTATGATGTATATTTTTGTGGAATTCCTGTTTATTCTGTGTGGAATTGAGCTTCTTTGATATGTAAGTTGTCATTAGTTTTGGGACGCTTTCTGCCATTTATTTTCATTTTTTAACAGTACTGGGAATTGAGTTAAGGTCTTCCACCCTGAGCAACAAACCTAGCCTTTTCCATATTTTTTATTTTGA